AGGCTAACAAGACCTAAAATTAGTAAAAACAACCCCTCTGCACACCCACTTCAGGCATTAACCACCAACTGCCCGGGTGCAGTCTGTGACCTTTGGGGAGCCTCTCCTCCCCACTGGCCCAGTCTTTCCCTCAGCCACAGTGGATTTTCCTGTCCAGGCCTGGGCTTGGATCCTCAGAAGGAGGTCATGCTTCTACAGAAATAGACTTTTTTTGCTTAAAAAAGTACTTTGCTTAAAAAAAATAAAAATAAAAATAAAAAAGAGGAAATTCCAGAAAATCAAGTGTACTCACATCAGCTCCCGGCTCTCCAGGCAGGCCAGGGGATCCGGGTTTGCCTGCATCCCCATCTGGACCCTTCAGGATTTAAACAGACAGTTAAGCATGTTTCAGAGAAGGAAGCAGAAATAAAACTCAAAACCTCTTCTCTTGCAGGAACAAATGCAAAGTAGCTGAAATCACTTACCGGTGGACCAGGGGGGCCGTTCGGACCTCTCTCTCCCTAATGAGATATGAAAAGGAAAGTATTAGAGCTACTGCGACCTTTTATGGTTCCTTAAGAAAAACACTGATTTACAGATTATCAGGAATAATCCCAAACTGATTCTTATTGTAGGAAATTAATATTAAAGCCACAAGATTTCTAATTATAGACTAAGAGAAATAATCACAGAAACTTCTGACAGGAACTGGGGGAAAATACATAGTAGGTCCTATCAGGAATAATGCCACAAATCCTTATCATGCTTTAGTACGAGTGATAATACGTAATCCCTTTTGAGATTAGAATTATAAAACCCCTACACCCCGTTAAAGGCAAATAATGACAGCATATGATGCTGATTACATAAAATAAATAATCCTGTATTTTCTATATCAGAGATAATCTGAAAGGCCACATTCTCCCCCCGTCCCAGCCTGCTACAGAGTATAAGACTCATCAGTTCCTATGTGGATCTCCAGCCAAATTCAAACCCCTCAGGGTCAAATGCTGACAGTGGGGATAATGCAAGTACATCTAGAGGTATTTCCTAGGCAGGGCATGGGAAACACTTACATCAATGCCATCAATGCCGGGAACTCCTGGTGGCCCTGGTGGACCTGGGGGGCCTGGTGGACCAGGGAGACCTCTCTAACAAGGAGTGAAAAAGAAGGAGCAATTAGAGCCTGGCAAACCTGCAAGAGCCAGTCTGGGGGAACCAGCACAATGAGAGACGACTTCTATGGGTCAGTCAGGGGGTCACGGGTGTCATGAGGAGCTGTGTCCTCACTCCACGCATGTCAGCACCCCTATATCCCATCTTCGCTGTCCCTGCAATGACCAGCAATGCTCCCCTCGTGGGCAGAACAGGGATGAGGTGTTAAACCCCGCACCCTGGGCCCAGCCACCCTCCTGCACCCTGCAATGCTGGTAGGACCAGGGCAAGGTGGAGGGGGCTTGAGACTCTGACCCAGCAGGATCTGAATGCCGTATGGCAACGACAGGGCAGCAGAAATAAAAGGAGTGAACTTTGCAAATCAAACACTGAAATTCACTAAGCTATGCCAATTACTCATTCAGCCAACACAAAGGAGACAGTCTTCCTAAGAGTTCGTGCTAGCGAAGAAAATTTAAAACAACCCTTTCCCTGCTGTACTGCCGGGCTCAGTGGTTTCCCCTGTTTCCTCAGGATCACATTAGCATCTACAGAGGCACTTTCTCAAAGCACCAGGCTCCCGAGGGGGAGGCAGGAGGCGCCACCAGCCTGTGGAAAGCCAGAGAAAGGCTTTTACAGGTCTCCCTCTCCATAATGGGAGGCTCTGTTCTCCTCAGGGCAAGCTCCGGCTTCGGTCCCACAACGCTGCTCTGTGAGCAGGAGGCTGGCCTGGGCCCTGCACCGGGCCCCTCACTCCCCACAGCACGGCTGCTGTGGGCACCTTTCCTTCACACACCAGTCTTCCCAGTAATAATCCATTCGATGGTAGCTTTAGAAGAAGCTCAAGCCCCACCATGTCACCAGATGCCTGCCTGATGCCCATCATATAGGAATACACACATGGCACCCACAGCCTTACGGTCAAATCACTTTTGCCAGCACCATGTCGGGGTCAGCTACTGTGGGGGAGAAAGGAGTCAAAAACCCTCCAGGGGGTCAGCGCCAGGGCATGACAGAGAGCAGACCTCAGTCTCCCTCCGCCCACACCCTTTCCCTGAGCACAGACCCTTCCCTCACACTTACCTCGATTACCGTCTGGCTTATCTGTGAGGGAAG